ATATCGGTGCAGTATATGATATTGGTGCAGTATATATCAGTGCAGTATATGATGATATTAGTGCAGTATATGATGATATCAGTGCAATATATATCGGTGCAGTATATGATGATATTAGTGCAGTATATGATGATATCGGTGCAGTATATGATGATATCGGTGCAGTATATATCAGTGCAGTATATGATGATATCAGTGCAGTATATGATGATATTAGTGCAGTATATGATGATATCGGTGCAGTATATGATGATATCGGTGCAGTATATGATGATATCGGTGCAGTATATGATGATATCAGTGCAGTATATGATGATATCGGTGCAGTATATATCAGTGCAGTATATGATGATATCAGTGCAGTATATGATATCGGTGCAGTATATGATGATATCGGTGCAGTATATGATATCAGTGCAGTATATGATGATATCGGTGCAGTATATGATGATATCAGTGCAGTATATGATGATATCGGTGCAGTATATGATGATATCGGTGCAGTATATGATGATGTCGGTGCAGTATATGATGATATCAGTGCAGTATAGGATGATAGTGCAGCATAGGATGACATTGGTGCAGCATATGATATATCGGTGCAGCATATGATGATATATCGGTGCAGTATATGATATCGGTGCAGTATATGATGATATCAGTGCAGTATATGATGATATCAGTGCAGTATATGATGATATCGGTGCAGTATATGATGATATCGGTGCAGTATATGATGATATCAGTGCAGTATATGATGATATCGGTGCAGTATATGATATGCAGTATATGATATATGATGATATCGGTGCAGTATATGATGATATCAGTGCAGTATATGATGATATCGGTGCAGTATATGATGATATCAGTGCAGTATATGATGATATCGGTGCAGTATATGATGATATCGGTGCAGTATATGATATCAGTGCAGTATATGATGATATCGGTGCAGTATATATCAGTGCAGTATAGGATGATATCGTGCAGCATAGGATGACATTGGTGTGCAGCATATGATATCGGTGCAGCATATGATGATATCGGTGCAGTATATGATGATATCGGTGCAGTATATGATGATGTCAGTGCGGAATATGATGATATCGGTGCGGAATATGATGATATCGGTGCAGTATATGATGATATCGGTGCAGTATAATGATATCAGTGCAGTATATGATATCAGTGTAGTATATGATGATATCGGTGCAGTATATATCAGTGAAGTATATGATATCAGTGCAGTATATGATGATATCGGTGCAGTATATGATGATATCAGTGCAGTATATGATGATATCGGTGCAGTATATGATGATATCGGTGCAGTATATGATGATATCGGTGCAGTAGATGATATTAGTGCAGTATATGATATCGGTGCAGTATATATCAGTGCAGTATAGGATATCAGTGCAGTATATGATGATATCGGTGCAGTATATGAGGATATCGGTGCAGTATATGATATCAGTGCAGCATAGGATGATATTGGTGCAGCATATGATGATATCGGTGCAGTATATGATGATATCGGTGCAGTGTATGATGATATCGGTGCAGTATATGATGATATCGGTGCAGTATATGATGATATCGGTGCAGTATATGATGATATCAGTGCAGTATATGATATCGGTGCAGTATATGATGATGTCAGTGCAGTATATGATGATGTCAGTGCAGTATATGATATATCAGTGCAGTATATGATGATATCGGTGCAGTATATGATATCAGTGCAGTATATGATGATATCGGTGCAGTATATGATGATATCGGTGCAGTATATGATGATGTCGGTGCAGTATATGATGATATCAGTGCAGTATAGGATGATAGTGCAGCATAGGATGACATTGGTGCAGCATATGATATCGGTGCAGCATATGATGATATCGGTGCAGTATATGATATCGGTGCAGTATATGATGATATCAGTGCAGTATATGATGATATCAGTGCAGTATATGATGATATCGGTGCAGTATATGATGATATCGGTGCAGTATATGATGATATCAGTGCAGTATATGATGATATCGGTGCAGTATATGATGATATCGGTGCAGTATATGATGATATCGTGCAGTATATGATGATATCGGATATCGGTGCAGTATATGATGATATCAGTGCAGTATATGATGATATCGGTGCAGTATATGATGATATCGGTGCAGTATATGATATCAGTGCAGTATATGATGATATCGGTGCAGTATATATCAGTGCAGTATAGGATGATAGTGCAGCATAGGATGACATTGGTGCAGCATATGATATCGGTGCAGCATATGATGATATCGGTGCAGTATATGATGATATCGGTGCAGTATATGATGATGTCAGTGCGGAATATGATGATATCGGTGCGGAATATGATGATATCGGTGCAGTATATGATGATATCGGTGCAGAATATAATGATATCAGTGCAGTATATGATATCAGTGTAGTATATGATGATATCGGTGCAGTATATGATATCAGTGAAGTATATGATATCAGTGCAGTATATGATGATATCGGTGCAGTATATGATATCAGTGCAGTATATGATGATATCGGTGCAGTATATGATGATATCGGTGCAGTATATGATGATATCGGTGCAGTAGATGATATTAGTGCAGTATATGATATCGGTGCAGTATATGATATATCAGTGCAGTATAGGATATCAGTGCAGTATATGATGATATCGGTGCAGTATATGAGGATATCGGTGCAGTATATATGATATCAGTGCAGCATAGGATGATATTGGTGCAGCATATGATGATATCGGTGCAGTATATGATGATATCGGTGCAGTGTATGATGATATCGGTGCAGTATATGATGATATCGGTGCAGTGTATGATGATATCGGTGCAGTATATGATGATATCAGTGCAGTATATGATATCGGTGCAGTATATGATGATGTCAGTGCAGTATATGATGATGTCAGTGCAGTATATGATATCAGTGCAGTATACGATGATATCGGTGCAGTATATGATGCATGATATCGGTGCAGTATATGATGATATCGGTGCAGTATATGATGATATCGGTGCAGTATATGATGATATCGGTGCAGTTATATGATATCAGTGCAGTATATGATGATGTCAGTGCAGTGTATGATGATATCGGTGCAGTATATGATATCGGTGCAGTATATGATGATATCGGTGCAGTATATGATGATATCAGTGCAGAATATGATGATATCAGTGCAGAATATGATGATATCGGTGCAGTATATGATGATATCAGTGCAGAATATGATGATATCAGTGCAGAATATGATGATATCGGTGCAGTATATGATGATATCAGTGCAGAATATGATGATATCAGTGCAGTATATGATGATATCAGTGCAGTATATGATGATGTCAGTGCAGTATATGATGATATCGGTGCATTATATGATATCAGTGCAGTATATGATGATATCGGTGCATTATATGATATCAGTGCAGATATATGATGATATCAGTGCAGAATATGATGATATCGGTGCAGTATATGATGATATCGGTGCAGTATATGATGATATCAGTGCAGTATATGATGATATCGGTGCAGTATATGATGATATCGGTGCAGTATATGATGATATCGGTGCAGTATATGATGATGTCAGTGCAGTATATATGATGATGTCAGTGCAGTATATGATGATGTCAGTGCAGTATATATGATGATATCGGTGCAGTATATGATGATATCGGTGCAGTATATGATATCAGTGCAGTATATGATATCGGTGCAGTATATGATGATATCGGTGCAGTATATGATGATATCAGTGCAGTATATGATGATATCGGTGCAGTATATGATATCAGTGCAGTATATGATATCGGTGCAGTATATGATGATATCGGTGCAGTATATGATGATATCGGTGCAGTATATGATGATGTCAGTGCAGTATATGATGATGTCAGTGCGGAATATGATGATATCGGTGCAGTATATGATGATAATCGGTGCAGTATATGATATCAGTGCAGTATATGATATCGGTGCAGTATATGATGATATCGGTGCAGTATATGATGATATCAGTGCAGTATATGATGATATCGGTGCAGTATATGATATCAGTGCAGTATATGATATCGGTGCAGTATATGATGATATCGGTGCAGTATATGATGATATCGGTGCAGTATATGATGATATCGGTGCAGTATATGATGATATCGGTGCAGTATGATGATATCGGTGCAGTATATGATATCGGTGCAGTATATGATGATATCGGTGCAGTATATGATGATATCGGTGCAGTATATGATGATCAGTGCAGTATATGATGATATCGGTGCAGTATATGATGATATCGGTGCAGTATATGATATCGGTGCAGTATATGATGATATCGGTGCAGTATATGATGATATCGGTGCAGTATATGATGATATCGGTGCAGTATATGATGATATCGGTGCAGTATATGATATCGGTGCAGTATATGATGATATCGGTGCAGTATATGATATCAGTGCAGTATATGATGATATCGGTGCAGTATATGATATCAGTGCAGTATATGATGATATCGGTGCAGTATATGATATCAGTGCAGTATATGATGATATTGGTGCAGTATATGATGATATCGGTGCAGTATATGATATCAGTGCAGTATATGATGATATCGGTGCAGTATATGATGATATCGGTGCAGTATATGATGATATCGGTGCAGTATATGATGATATCGGTGCAGTATATGATGATATCGGTGCAGTATATGAGATCAGTGCAGTATATGATGATATCAGTGCAGTATATGATGATATCGGTGCAGTATATGATATCAGTGCATTATATGATGATATCGGTGCAGAATATGATGATATCAGTGCAGTATATGATGATATCGGTGCATTATATGATATCAGTGCAGAATATGATGATATCGGTGCAGCATTAGAGAATATATAGTCAGCAGCACTCAGGCTCCTCCCCCTCCCTCCAGCAGCCCGCCGGCCCGTGTAGGGAGAAGGGGCGTATCTCGGGGGCGTGCTTGGGGGGCGTGTCCTATGTGCGGGGCGGTGTGTGGCCGCTGGCGGAGGGATACGCGCGGTTATAAAGCGGTGCGGCGCGCAGTCACACCCCCAGCACTGTGTGGACCCCGGTGTGCGGTGCGTTTCTTCCTCATCGTCCTCCTCCCGGCACTCGGATCTGTAATCGGCTGACAGCATGGTACGTACCGGGGCCTGTCCTCTCTCCTCCTCACCCCGGGCCCGTGGCGGCCCCGCTCCGGATTTGGACGGATTTCTCGGCTTTGCTCCGCAACCCCGGCCGGCTGTTGGTGGTGGGAGGGGGGCGGGGCCAGACCTGGAGCGCGCTAACGCTGGACCCAGTGCGCGTCCCCGCCGCTACTGCAGAACCTCTTGTGGGCTTGGATCCTGCCTGTTATATACTGACCTGCAGCCTGAATGTACTAATAATGCGGTTCCTGCCGCCCTATGGGCCCTCTTCCATGTATGTGTGGATGATGGGGGGCGGTAATCTATCAATAGTGCCCAGGGTTGGGGTGTTTATGGGGGAGGCAGAATTGGAAAGAAGAGAAATTCTATATATCTTTAAATTTGTGTGTGTGTGTGGGGGGGGGGGGGGGGGTTTGTTTTTTGTAGTATGGTGAGGAGTTTTGTTTGGCATTGTATAGTACTTCCCTTCCCTGGGGGGGTGGTAATTGGTCTCCCCGGCTCTGGGTTGGGTCATAGTAAATGGGTGTATAGGAGGAATATCTCCCTGGCAACAGAAACATTCTCTACACCCAACCCTTCCTGCGGGGTCACCATCCCTTCTCTGTCCTTCATCCCTGGATCGGTCCCATCCCTGTCCTCAGATCCATTCCTAGTCCTTGCCCCTCGATCTTGGTCCTGACAATTGTCCCTGTTCTCGATTTTGTCCCATCTTCCTCCTCTGTTCTCAGATCCAACCCCATCTGTCTTGGTCTTCTCAGATTCCTCCCAGTTCCTCCATTCCTAGACTTGCCCAATCCCTGTCCTCAGATGCATCCCATTCCCATCCTCCATTCCTAGCTCCTGCCCCTCATCTTGGTCCTCCAGAATTGTCCCAGTCTTCCCTGCCCTCTGTTCTCAGATCTCTCCCATCCTCCTCTTCTCAGACCTATCCTAGTAATCCATTCCCAGATCACTTCTGATCTCTGTTCTCGATTTTGTCCCATCTTCCTCCTCTGTTCTCAGATCCAACCCATCTGTCTGGTCTTCTCAGATTCTTCCCAGTTCTCCATTCCTAGACTTGCCCAATCCCTGTCCTCAGATGCATCCCATTCCCGTCCTCCATTCCTAGCTCCTGCCCCATCTTGGTCCTCCAGAATTGTCCTGGTCTTCCCTGCCCTCTGTTCCCAGATCTGTCCCATCCTCTTCTCAGTTCTATCCTAGTATTCCATTTCCAGATCTGTTATTTGTTCTTGGTTTTTTCCCATCCTCCTCCTGTTCTCAGATCCAACCCATCTCCGTCCTGTCTTCTCAGATTCTTCCTAGTTCTCCATTTCTAGCCATGCCCAGTCCCTGTCCTTAGATTCATACTGTTCCCTTCCTCTATTCCTAGATCCCCCTCCTTTCTTGATCCCCTCAGATCTATCCCAGTCCCCCCATTCCCAGATCAGTCATGAACCTCTGTTCCCAGGTCTGACTCCTCCATTCTGATTCATCCCCTTCTCAACTTCTATTGCTAGATTGCTCCTACCATCCCAGATCTGACCCAGTCCTTCATTCCCAGATCCATCTCATTCCTGTCCTCCAGATCCATCTCATTCCTGTCCTCCATCATTCTCAGATCACTTATGATCCAGTTCCCAGATCCAACCCGTTCCTCCATTCCCTGATCTGAACCCATCCCTGATATCTTGATCTCTCATCTGTCCCAGATCAGTTATGATCCTCTGTTCTCGGATCCAACCAAGTCCTCCATTCCCCAAACCATCTTATTCCGGTCTTCTGTTTCCAGATCAAATCCAGTCCTCCATTCTTAGATCTGACCCATCCCCTTGTTCTCTGATCTGACCCAGTCCTCCATTCTTAGATCTGACCCAGTCTGACTCCATTTCTTAGATCTGACCCTCCAGTCCTCCATTCTTAGATCTGACCCATCGTCTTGTTCTCTGATCTACCCCAGTCGTCCATTCCCAGATCCACTCTCTTCTTGGATCTGTCCCAACCCAGTCTTCCATTTCCAGATCTCGCATCCCTGTGCTTCATTCCCAGTTCCTTCCATTTATGTGATCTATTCATGGATCATTTACAATCACCGGTTCTCAGATTTCTCCCAGATTGTCTCCCATCTTCATCCTCTGTTCTCGGATCTATCCCTATCCTCCATTCCAGATATCTCATCTCTGCCCTGTTTCCAGATCCAACCCATCCCTGTCATGTTCTCGCATCTATGCCAGTCCTCCATTCCTAGATCAATTTTGGAGCCTCTGTTCTCCAAACTTTCCCATCCCTCTACTGTTCTGATTTATCCCAGTTCTGGATCTGACCCATCACTGGTCTCCATTCCCAGATCTGTCTTTGAGAACAGAGGATCAAAATGGATCTGGGAATGGAGGACAGGGATGGGTTAGATTTGGGAAAAATCTGAGACTTCTAAATTGATCTTGACTACTGGGTTGGATCAAAGAAAAGAGGCTCATAGTTGATGTGGGAACTGAGGACAGGAATGGGGTAGATCTGGGAATGGATCGGAGAACAGAGGAAAGGGATGGGGTGGAGTTGAGAACAGAGGCTCACGAGTTGATCTGGGAATGGAGGACTGGGTTGGATCAAAGAGGCTCGGTCAATCTCGTATCAGAGGACAGGAATACGGCCAATCGACTGAGCCTCTGGTCTTTGATCTAACCCTGTCATTCATTCCCAGATCCATTCCTGTCATTCAGTACAGATCAACATATGAGCCTCTGTTCTCAACTGTCCCGTCCCTTCTGTTCTAAGATATATCCTAGTTGTCTATTCCCAGATCTGACCCCTGCCCAAATCCCTGTCCTCCGTTCCCAGATCCATTGTGATCCTCTTTTTTCTGATATTGTCCTTCCTGCCTGGTCCTTCATTCCCAGATCCAGCTGTGATACCACCTCCATTGGTGGCTCTAGGCTGGACACATCTGAAAGCAATGGAGCCAATTGCATCCACATCTAGGGTTGTCAGTGTGATGTGTGACCAGTGGGGTTTTGATATTTTCCAGCATGGTAGAAATCCAGGTTACCTGAGGTTGTCAATTATCAGTGTTTGGTGCCAGGAGCTCCTTGGGTGGTGGAGGGTTTGCGGCGTGTTGGTGGTAATGTTTCTGCCCTTGGACTTCCCATGAGTAGAAGAAACAAATTTCCTTTTTTTTTTCTCTAATTTTCTGCTGGCAAGGTTCTGCCCATTGAAGGGGAAATGGGTTGATCTTTCCCTGTTCTCTGGGCGGTTGATCTTCTGTATGAGGCGTCATGGTCCCTGTTCTCTTCATAGCTTTATAAAAGCATCCAGAGACTTTTTTGCTGACTTCATGTTGACTGTTTTTGATTCACCTAATAGAATATAATTAGTCTCGGTATTGTGTATGGAGTTCTGCAGACACCACAGCTGGTGGTTATTTTTGGGCTGTGGTTGAAGGAAATGAGAACGGAAGTCTCTATATACCTTTTTAATAGAGGAACCGTCAGCCTTGCTTTCCTCCATTGTTCTCCTTTTTGGAGGACTGAGGCTTGAGCTGGATGAACACCAGTATACCGGAGCAGATCGGGGGAAGAGGTCTTCTCCTCTCCGCACACCTTGCAGATCCCTTTGTCAGAGCAAGCTGCACCTTCTAGTTGCATTCGCTGAGATGTTTGTAAAAAGATTGGACTGATTGCTCAGTTGTGCAGGTCTTGTGGTTGCAGCTAGCTGTCTGAATTTGTATCCAACAGCTGGAGTTGGGAGTGTGTACCATAAAATGACTGTAGATTGTTTCCAATATGTACCCCAAGCTCATATACTGATCTTCAGAATCGGTGATGGAAGACATTTCGTTACAAATGAGTCTTGGGTGTGCGTAGCCAGCATTGGCTCCACAGGATTGCAGAACCGTGTTGCTGGTCTATAGGATTCAGTTATCCTGCTGACTTTGGGGTCATACATATGGGATGAATGGTGGTCCTGGTGACTGTTGGGGTCACACTTGGGGATGAACAATGGTCCCACTGACTCCAGTGCTACATATGCAATGAATGGCTGTCCCGCTGACTTTGGGTTCATAGATATGGGAAGATTGGTGTCCTACAGACTTTGGGCTTAAAGGTATGGGATGGACAATGGTAGCACTGACTTGGTGAATGGTGGTCCCTACTGACTTTGGGCTCATAGATATGGGAGGAGTGGTGTCCTTCAGACTTTTGGCTTGTAGGTATGGGATGGACAATGGTAGCACTGACTTTGGGGCATAAATATGCTACGGATAGTGGTCCTGCTAACTTCGGTGTCAGATATGGAGTGAATGGTGGTCTGTCTTGTGGCTCATGGATATTTAGTGAATGGTGGTCCTGTTAACTTTGGTGTCAGATATGGAGTGAATGGTGGTCTGTCTTGTGGCTCATGGATATTTAGTGAATGGTGGTCCTGTTAACTTTGGTGTCAGATATTTTATTTCAGGTACTTGTATAGCGCTGTCATTTTATGCAGATATACATATATATTCATTCACATCAGTCCCTAACCCTCAAGGGGCGTACAATCTAAGGTCCCTAACTCATTCATACATACACATACTAGGGACAAATTAGACAGGAGTCAAATAACCTACCAGCATATCTTTGGAGTGTTGGAGTACCTGGAGGAAACCCACGGAGGCACAGGGAGAACATGCAAACTCCAGGCAGGTGGAGCCGTGGCTGGGATTCCAACCAGCGACCCGAGTATTGCCAGGCATAAGTGCTAACCATTTAGCCACTGTGCCGCCCTATGGATATGGGGTGAATGGTGATCCCACTGACTTTGGGCTCAGATATGAGGTGAATGGTGGTCTCAGTCTTGTGGCTCATGGATATTTACTGAATGGTGGTCCCGCTGACTTTGGGCTCATAGATATGGGAAGAGTGGTGTCCTTCAGACTTTGGGCTTATAGGTATGGGATGGACAATGGTAGCACTGACTTTAGGTTCATAAATATGCTATGTTTAGTGGTCCTGCTAACTTTGGTGTCAGATATGGGGTGAATGGTGGTCCCCACTGACTTTGGGCTCAGATATGGGGTTGAATGGTGGTCCCCACTGACTTTGGGCTCAAATATGGGGTTGAATGGTGGTCCCCACTGACTTTGGGCTCAGATATGAGGTGAATGGTGGTTTCATGGTCTTGTGGATCTTGGATATTTAGTGAATGGGCATCCTACTGACTTTGGGCTCATAGATATGGGGTGAATGGTGGTCCCACTGACTTTGGGCTCAGATATGAGGTGAATGGTGGTCTCATGGTCTTGTGGATCATGGATATTTAGTGAATGGGCGTCCTGCTGACTTTGGGCTCATAGATATGGGGTGAATGGTGGTCCCACTGACTTTGGGCTCAGATATGAGGTGAATGGTGGTCTCATGGTCTTGTGGATCATGGATATTTAGTGAATGGGCGTCCTGCTGACTTTGGGCTCATAGATATGGGGTGACTGGTGGTCCCGCTGACTTTGGGCTCAGATATGAGGTGAATGGTGGTCTCAGTCTTGTTGGCTCATGGATATTTAGTGAATGGTGGTCCCGCTGACTTTGGGCTCATAGATATGGGGGTCCCGCTGACTCAGGACTCATCTCTGCTGAAGTACCTAGTCTAAAGCGCTGATCTTTGCTAGAAAAGCATGTTGGCATGGTTGATGGGATTGCGAAAGCCGTTGGCAATCTGGAATTGATTTCTAGCTGCACATATATGGCTGTGTTCTGGGTCGCATTGTAAAGAGATGTTTGTCAGTAACGGTTACCATACATGGCTGCTGTGTGGCTGCAGGCAGGTGAATTGGTGTACTTGAGTCCTTATGTCTCTACAGAAAGGTATAGAGATGTTCCCTGCCCCCCTTCAGCTACAGACCCTGGTGCTCTGCTTTGGTCGGTTTGGCTGTAGATTGGGGTCTGCTTTACTTTGGCTCCTCTGACCATAGATAATGAAATTGCTGTCTGGTACGTCTGTGGCTACATTGGCGACTTCCTTTTTGGTTCCTCTGTGGCCACCGATTGGAGACATGATTTATTTCGGTCCCTGCCGCAGCAGACAGGTGAACTGGCTCGCTCTAATGTGCAGAGGTCTTAAATCACCTCTAGCAGTTCAGGAATCAAATGTTAATCTCCTTTAGCCGGAACGTTTCCGGCTCCAGTGTTCCCAGCCGCGACCCGGCCGGGTTATTTTAAGCTTGTGCTAGAGAGACTTAATGTGACTACAGGTGGACGGGAATCCCAGACACGGAGCTCCCGCCTGGTCCATCTGGAACCACCATTCTGTGGCTCGTGCTGCCTTGTCTGAACTGAATTCTGATGGCTGACCACTGCAGTCAGTGCCGTGTTGTCATTGTCCCGTTCTGGTGGCATGTTGGACATTTGCTGGTATAGTCCATTCTCTTATGGTGTCCATACATGCAGCAATCTGGGTTCAAGCAATGCTTCTGAATGTGAATTGAAGAATTCCAATGGCTGACAAGCATACGTGGACATATACTATTCCTGTGCCTGTTGGCCAGTTGGCATATAGTCTGTTCTGCTTGATATCTGACAGTCAAATCTTCCTTGTGATGGTATGAGCAATCTAGGATCAAAGGTTCAAGCGATCAAACAAGCTATTCAAAGATTAAATTATTGAATGACACCACACACTGTATTTTGTTGCAACACCTAGATATGGGATGATTGGTCCTGTTGACTTTGGGCTCATGAAACACACTGCATTGTGGTTGTTTGGGGGTCATACGGTGGTCCCGATGACTCAGAATCATAAATGGAATAGCCAGTGGTCCCATTGACTTGGGTCATATGAGATGAATGGTGATCCTGCTGACTTTGGGCTCAAAGATATGGGATGGATGGTGTCCTACAATTATGAGTTTATATAGGTTACAGTGGTTCCATTGACTGGCTTCAATTGGTTGTCCTGACTTTGGGCTTGTGGAAGGGGCGATTGGTGGTCCCGCTGACTTTGGGCTCATGGAAGGGGCGATTGGTGGTCCTGCTGACTTTGGGCTCATGGAAGGGGCGATTGGTGGTCCTGCTGCCTTTGGACTCATGCATGGGGCAATTGGTGATCCTGCTGCCTTTTTGGGCTCATGCAAGGGGCAATTGGTGGTCCTGCTGACTTTGGGCTCATGGAGGGGGCAATTGGTGGTCTTGCTGACTTTGGGCACATGCATGGGGCGATTGGTGGTCCTGCTACCTTTGGGCTCATGGAGGGGGCGATTGGTGGTCCTGCTGCCTTTGGGCTCATGGAGGGGGCGATTGGTGGTCCTGCTGCCTTTGGGCTCATGGAGGGGGCGATTGGTGGTCCTGCTGCCTTTGGGCTCATGGAGGGGGCGATTGGTGGTCCTGCTGCCTTTGGGCTCATGGAGGGGGCGATTGGTGGTCCTGCTGCCTTTGGGCTCATGGAGGGGGCGATTGGTGGTCCTGCTGCCTTTGGGCTCATGGAGGGGGCGATTGGTGGTCACGTTGACTTTGGGCTCATGCATGGGGCGATTGGTGGTCATGTTGCCTTTGGGCTCATGCATGGGGCGATTGGTGGTCCTGCTGCCTTTGGGCTCATGGAGGGGGCGATTGGTGGTCACGTTTGACTTTGGGCTTATGCATGGGGCGATTGGTGGTCATGTTGCCTTTGGGCTCATGCATGGGGCGATTGGTGGTCCTGCTGCCTTTGGGCTCATGGAGGGGGGGCGATTGGTGGTCACGTTGACTTTGGGCTCATGCATGGGGCGATTGGTGGTCATGTTGCCTTTGGGCTCATGCATGGGGTGATTGGTGGTCACGTTGCCTTTGGGCTCATGCAAAACAATGCATTGTGTTTTAACGTCTAGACATGGAATGAATGGTGGTCCTGCTGACTTCAGGCACATTGTTCTTTTTTTGATCAGTTGTATTTTCGATTGCCATTTTCAGTCCAGTAGCCTGATGACTGTACCCAGTATTGTATCATTACATTGTTCTGGTGACCTAATCGGTTGGTTTAGCTCATTCTTCCCAAGAGCTGATGGTCCATTCTTATGGCCATAAACCTAGCGATCTGGGATTGGTCCAGTCAAGCAATCGTAAACAAGCCATTGTTTAAAGTGCTGCATATTCAATATTTTATTACACTTGAATTTTCTGATTTGATGTTCAGTCGATCAGTCCTGTTTGATGTTCAGTCGCCATTGGGTGTCGGTGGGAGGGAGCGTTGCCCTCTCGCCGGTGGGAGGGAGCGTTGCCCTCTCGCCGGTGGGAGGGAGCGTTGCCCTCTCGCCGGTGGGAGGGAGCGTTGCCCTCTCGCCGGTGGGAGGGAGCGTTGCCCTCTCGCCGGTGGGAGGGAGCGTTGCCCTCTCGCCGGTGGGAGGGAGCGTTGCCCTCTCGCCGGTGGGAGGGAGCGTTGCCCTCTCGCCGGTGGGAGGGAGCGTTGCCCTCTCGCCGTTGGGAGGGAGCGTTGCCCTCTCGCCGGTGGGAGGGAGCGTTGCCCTCTCGCCGGTGGGTGTCGGTGGGAGGGAGCGTTGCCCCCCCCCCTCAGCGTTGGGTGTCGGTGGGGGAGGGAGGGAGCGTTGCCCTCTCGCCGTTGGGTGGCGGTGGGAGGGAGCGTTGCCCTCTCGCCCGTTGGGTGTCGGTGGGAGGGAGCGTTGCCCCTCTCAGCGTTGGGTGGCGGTGGGAGGGAACCCCCTGTTTTAGAACCAGCTTTTGCTTGGTAATGCGGTGTTGCTGGCTCTGCTGGTGTAGTTCTGGCTCTGATTTACAGCCGGCAATTTAATGGCTGCAACTGTATAAACACATGCCATTCCTGCTGTAAATGGCTCCTTACAACCACATTTGTCAAGCGAATTCCTTGTGTGCTGTGGAGAGAGGAATTTATGGCTGTGATAAGGATTTAGAATGTCCTGTAAAATTGATCCGAGGTCGTTCATGATTGATGTGGGGTGAATGAGATCAGAGTGTTGTGGATAATGAACGCCTGGCCTGCCGGAGGCAAAGTCCAGATCCTGACTGGTGGACCTTGTTGCCGGAGTGTCTCTGTGCCAGGATTGTGAATGAGGTGTCACTGCCCCGCCCTGTACTCTAGGAAAGGCTGGGTGTGTCCACGGCCGCCTCCTCCTATGAAAGGCAACATGGTATAGCCTGAAATGTCTGGGTTGTGTGCTGAATACTGTTACAACCTCTCTGTTCATTGGTTGTGGTTTTAATTGCTCGTTTTCTTTTTCAGGCAGACCAACTTACTGAGGAGCAGATTGCTGGTGAGTAACCCCCCCCCCCCCTCGTTTTCTGGGTACTTGGTGAGGTTTCAGGCTATTTGTGGCATGCAGTGACTCAGCCTGTTTACTAAGCAAATTCTCTCCTTGGACGAGGCGTTCACTGGCCGAACGCTCGAGTGATTGGCCTGCATTACGTTTGCCTGCTCTGAGCATGGAGTCGACTATTTGATCTCATACATGTTTAAGACGTGATCTGATAAATATGGGCTTGCTGGATAAAGGCAGATCATTGGAAGCAGCAGGTACCTGAATCTGACCTGGTATCAGCCTCTTACAGTCTATGTACAGCAGAGCTCAGACTGGAAGAGGGAGAAGCTGCAAAGGAGGGGATTGGTTTGTGCGCTGACCAGGGACAAGCGGATAGGAGGCTTGCAGGGATGAGCTCGTCACAATTCATATGAAGCACTATACACATGGCCGGGCTGGACAAGCGCCACTCTGGGAGGACGTTCCTGTATGTCGTCCCAGAACTGTGCCTTGGTGTGATCCAGTGACTGTGTCCACCATTACGACATCCCATCGCACTTTCCGGGTAAGGCTTTAGGGGTAACGGGTGCTGCGGAAACAATCGGCTGGGACTGGAGACCTCACAGAAGCCGGCACACCACGGACCGTCAAATACATCAATCTTTATTGAATGATCACAGAAGACACAATGTGGTGTTTCCGAGTTGTGCGGGACCCCTTCGTCAGACATGTGACATGCCTCACGAAGGGGTCCAAATGTTGCCCTGTCTTCTGTGAAGTGATCTTCAATGACGGTTTTTAACAGTTTGTGGTGTGCTGGCAAATATATGCATTTGTGCTGTCCACCGGACCAAGTACCAAGTGGCAGTACTCTACCCTGATACCATGTGATTGCTGTGATCAATCACAGCAGTCATATATCCAGTAGTAATGTCATTTATACAGCCATTGAGAACTACTGTGATCTCATTGATCATTTCTGACACGGTACAAGGTCAAGTACTGCCTCCTTGTACCATGTGATAGCTGTAGACAATCACCGTAGTTCTCAATGGCTGTATGAATGCAGCTGAGAACGCAGAAATGATTGCTCATACAACCATCTGTGCACCAAGTGGTGCACAGATGGTTGTATGAGCCATGATTTGATTAAATATTTGCAAAATTCTATAAATAAAAACACTTAAATTTTGGGACCTTCATTTATATAGCAAAAAAAAAATCCCAGTGGTGAATAAATACCACCAAAATCTTTGTCTGTCTCAAAAAAATGCTAAATTCATATGGGGTGCAGTGTTGCATGACTGCACAATTGTCATTCAAAGTGTGATGGTACCAGAAGCTGACAAGTGTCCGGACCGGAAGGGGGTTGAGGAAAGTGTCCGGACCGGAAGGGGGTTGAGGAAAGTGTCCGGACCGGAAGGGGGTTGAGGAAAGTGTCCGGACCGGAAGGGGGTTGAGGAAAGTGTCCGGACCGGAAGGGGGTTGAGGAAAGTGTCCGGACCGGAAGGGGGTTGAGGAAAGTGTCCGGACCGGAAGGGGGTTGAGGAAAGTGCCCGGACCGGAAGGGGGTTGAGGAAAGTGCCCGGACCGGAAGGGGGTTGAGGAAAGTGCCCGGACCGGAAGGGGGTTGAGGAAAGTGCCCGGACCGGAAGGGGGTTGAGGAAAGTGCCCGGACCGGAAGGGGTTGAGGAAAGTGCCCGGACCGGAAGGGGGTTGCGGAAAGTGCCCGGACCGGAAGGGGGTTGCGGAAAGTGCCCGGACCGGAAGGGGGTTGCGGAAAGTGCCCGGACCGGAAGGGGGTTGCGGAAAGTGCCCGGACCGGAAGGGGGTTGCGGAAAGTGCCCGGACCGGAAGGGGGTTGCGGAAAAGTGCCCGGACCGGAAGGGGGTTGCGGAAAGTGCCCGGACCGGAAGGGGGTTGCGGAAAGTGCCCTCAGTTCTCAATGGAGCCGTCAGATTAAAAAAGGTACATTTACTCAGCTGACAAAACCCAGCAGGGGTTCTGACTCTTCCCCAGTCTATCCAAAGGTTTTTTTTTTTTTTTTTTTTTGGAACACCAGAGTGTGCAATTCCCACTCCATCTGCTCTAAGTAATGAGGTCCCCCCTTGAAGTAATGAGGTCCCCCCTTGAAGTAATGAGGTCCCCCCTTGAAGTAATGAGGTCCCCCCTTGAAGTAATGAGGTCCCCCCTTGAAGTACCGGAGATGATCACAGGTCCTACCCATGTGTGGAAGCGCAGACTCCTAGCTGGGGCTGTTGTGTGAACGTTCCATAGAAACTGTATAAATCTACAGGCAGCCCATGGGGCCCCAACCCACAAGCAACCTTTGACCGTGCGCCGCCTGCATTGTGCTGCAGCATTTTCTCTGACTCATCAGATAAGGCCTTGTGGGTAACATCCCGTTTCACAACAAGACGAGCAGCGAGCCTTTCCTTGCTGTGGGAAGCTTTTGAGCTGCGGAAGTTGAAGCTGCAGGTTTCTAGGGCAATTACTACAGTTCTGGCCGTATCGTCATTTCATGCATTTTTCGCACATGTTTAAAATAATTTTATTTTGGGCCTGAAGATTACATAACCCCCAAACATTTTCTAAAAGACCCCCCTAGAGCATAAAAGGGTTTCATTTTTTATGTGACATTAACCTCAAAGGTCTAAGAAAAAAAGCAAAAATTTCAGAAAAACAATGAATTTTAGGGCGAACCCTAACCACCTCCCATCCGGCTGATGTGTATATAAACGGCCGGACGGTGGCAGTGCGGGTCAGGTGGCCGTTTATAAACTGCCTCCCTGCACCCTGGGAGCGCGCAGCACCGCAATCCGGTGCCCGCTGTGGAACTGGACACAGTGGAACACCGATTGTCTGACGGGACCTCTGTACGAGGTCCTGATCGTGTGATCCACTGATTGGCCAATCAGTGATCAGATGCAGAGTAGCAAGCAAGATGTCACTTGTGACATCATTGCTTACGACGTGTGAAATCTGTGAATGATCACAGAGGTCACATGGTACAGGGCTATTCACAACAGCCTTGTACCATGTGACAAGCTGTGACCAATCACAGCTCACACAGTTCTCAATGGCTGCAAGAATGCAGCCAGAGGGGAAATGATTGCTTTTACAGCCTTTATGGGTGTAAAAGCAATCCAATGAAAAAAAAAAAAAAAAAGTCTTAAATCACCCGCACAAGTAGTACTGCTAGGGTGTCCATAATGTAGAAGAAAAATAGATATATATAAAAAAAAGTATTAAACTTATAGTATTTTGGTTTATTAAACGATATTGGGTTTTTTTTTTTTACTAAAAATTATAACAGCATAAAGTTGTAGACCAAGAATTTATGATTAAATACTAATTAGCAAAAATTTTATAAGACAAACACATCTTCAACTTTTTGGACTTTTTAATTTAGCACAGTGAGAAAAAATTAAAATCCCAGCGGAGAATACTACAATAAATCTTCATAAAGCTAAAATTCATATGGGGCACGTGTTGCATGACCGCGCAATGTCCATTCAAATTGTGATAGCGCTGAAAGCTTGAAAATGGCCTGGACTGGAAGGGGGGGGGGGGAAATAGTGTCCGGACTGGAAGGGGGTGGGGGGAAAAGTTGTCCGGCACTGGACGGGGGGGGGGGGGAAGAAAAGTGTCCCGTACTGGAAGGGGGGTGGAGAAGGATGGTCCGACTGAAGGGGGGGGGGAGAAAGTGTCCGGGACTGGATCGGGTGAGGTGGTGGAGAAAGTGTCCCGGACTGAATGGGGGGTAGAATGTGGTCCGGACAAGGAAGTGGGGGGGGAGAAGTGTACCGGACTGTAAGGGGGGGGGGTGAGAAAAGAGTCCGGACTGGAAGGGGGGGGGAGAAAGTGATCCGGGACTGGAAGGGGGTGGGGGAGAAAGTGCCCGGACTGAAGGGGGGGGGGGGAGAAAGTGTCCGGACTGGAGTAAGGGGGGGGGTGGAGCAAAAGTGCGTTCCGGACTGGGGAAGGGTGGGGTGGGGAGAAAAGTGTCCGGAACTGGAAAGGGGGGTGGGGGGGAGAAAGTGTCCGGACTGGAAGGGGGTGGGGAGAAAGAGTCCGGACTAACGTGTGGGGGGGGGAGAAAAGTGGTCCGGAATGGAAGGGGGTGGGAGAAGTGTCCGGACAGGAAACGTTGGGGGGAGAAGTGTCCGGAACTGGATGGGGGGGGGTGGAGAAAAAGTGTGCCGGACTGGAAGGGGGTGGTGGGAGAAAAGTGTCCGGACTGGAAGGGGGGGGTGGGGGGGAAAGTGTCCGGACTGGAAGGGGAGGGTGGGGGGAAGTGTCCGGACTGAAGGGGGGGTGGGGGGGAGTGACCGGACTGGAAGGGGGGTAGGGGGAGATGGACTCGGACTGGAAGATGGGGGGGGGCGGGAGTGTCCGGACTGGAAGGTGGGGGTAGGTGGGAGTGACCGGACTAGGGAAGGTGGGGGGGGGGTAAGTGTCGAGACTGAAGGGTGGGTGGGGGGGAAATGTGTCCGTGACTGGACGGGTGGGGGGGGGGGGGAAGTGTCCGGATCATTGGAAGGGGGGGGTGGGGTCCGGACTGGTAATTGGTGGGGTGTCCGGACTGGCGGGGGTGGGGGAAGTGTCCCCTGACTGGAAGGGGGTGGGGGGTCCGGACTGGAAGTGTGGGGGGGTGTCCGACTGGAAGGGGGGGGGGGGGTCCCGACCTGGAATGGGGGAGGTGTCCGGACTGGAAGGGTGGGGTGTTACCTGGACTGGAAGGGGGGTGTGGGGGAGTGTCCGACTGGAAGGTGGGGGGTGGGGAGTGTCCGGGACTGGAAGGGGGGGGGGGGGACAGGTGTCCGGACAGCAGGGGGGGGGGGGGTCCGACTGGAAGGGGGGGGGGGGTCCGGACAGGAAGGGGGGGGGGGGTTCCGACTGTGAAGGGGGGGGTGGGTCCGGACTGAAGTGGGGGGGGGGTGTCCGGACTGGAAGGGGGGGGCGGGGAAGTGTCCGGACCCTGGAATGTGGGGGTGGGGTGGGGAATTGTCCGG